TAAGAAAATTAAAGCAAATAATAGTTCTTAATCGGGACTTTTCTGTATACGTTTTTATAAATATTTTCGAATAAATATTATTTCACGTTAAAAAAAAAAAAAAAAAAAAAAAAAAAAAAAAAAAAAAATTACAGAAAATACAAGAACATCGATGTAATTCTCCCATATTATAATATGTGATAATAAAATGTGACTATTAACGACGCAAAATTTTGTACGACTTATCGAGAAAAACATTGAAAAAAAATATACACACGCATACATATGTATCCGCGCACACATCATACAACATACCATCCATATGTACACATAACAGTTATAATACTTTCTTATCAAGTATTATAACGAAAATATGTTTATATGAAAAATGTGTCGTGTATACCGCGTGTACGTTGAAAAAAAAAATTTGATGAAAAACAAGACCGTTTCCATTTTCCATAGGCGTAGGATTCGGTGGAGGACGATCTCCCCAAACGAATTCGAACTAATCCGAATGAATGAAAAATGAAGGAAGAAAAAGGATGTAGAGATGCCGCTTGTCAACGACAAGAAGATAGAAACAGATGGAAAGAAATAGAAAGATACGTATACATGTGTATATATATATATATATATATATATATGTATAAAGCGTCCACGCCTAATTTGTTTCCAAGCTTATCATCACGAACAAAAGATATTAAACTCTGATATCCCATTTTCTTTTCGTAGAACGTTTCTTCCATCCACAGATTTCAAATTTCAAATAAAATGTCGAGTAGAAAGAACGAATTATGGGATGGGGATCGACTCTAACGTAAATATATTATAATTATTTCGAATAGTTTCGAAAAGATTATTCAAGTGTTCGAAGAAATATGTAAAATATATCCCTAGGAAATACGTTTATCGAGTCAAAACCGGCGTCGTAACCCGGCAAGCAAGGGAAAGCAAGCAAGCAACCAAAGAACAAGACAAGACGCTCGGGATTTGTGAAGGGCATCCAGCCACTGAAAAAGCTATGCTTTTTTTTTTTTTCTCTCCACGTCCTTTTTTTTCCTCTTCGTCCTCCTTTCTTTTCTTGCTCCTTACCGCGAGTAAACGTCTTTACGAATTTGATCGAACAACGATGAAGATGTAACGAAGAAAATTTGTAATAATGTCTACGATACTAACGTTCGATATAGTTGTTGTTGAATAATATGACTTACCGTTAGGACGACCAAATTATCCCGAGGAAATATCGAAGAAGAAATACGGGATTCTTTCTTTCTCGCAGTGTGTTACTGGCAACGTCACTTCACTCGTTTCTCTACGCCGGTCACTGCGCCTGTGTGTCGTTGTATCTTGCGACTCGAAACCTGTCCTTACTTCGGACAGTTATGGTGCTGCCATCTTCCGATACATTTTTCAAACGTTCCCAATCTACTCCACGCAAACGCGCTGTGATTGGTCAGATTTTAATTTACCATGGGGAAAAATAATATCTCAAGTTCGATTTAAATACACGTATTTGTATAAACTAAGTATTTTATTTTACATTTATTTCTATAATTATTGTTAACTCTCGATTAAATATAAATATATATATATATATATGTATTGTGTGGTTATATGGTTAAGGTTTTATGTATATCTGTGTTTTTTTATTTGTGGATTAAATGATTTATTTATCACATTCGTTACACCATGAAAGGTAAATCCATATTTTTCTTACCGTTACCAATATATAAAAAACCGTAATGAGGTGTATTTAATTTGTGATAAAATGTCATTCCAGGCCAGTATAAATTGTAAAGGATTATTAAATTGGATCCCATAAGAAGTTGCAGATTCCAGCATCCTAAGTAAGATATAAATTTTTCTTATACATATATTTTATTAATTAAAAAAGTTATCAAAATATTTTCTACGATGCAGCAAAAAAATTTGAGGTTATCTATTTTTTTAAATTATTATTAACTTCTCGAATATACGATTTTTGTATATACCCTGAGGAATATCCAGATCGACGGTGTCAAGAAAATCGATAGCATAATCGTAATCAGGTCTTGTTAACAAATTAGTATTCCATTTTTGTTGAGGAGGACGTGCATGTTGATAGGATTTAAGATTAAGTGCATCTACTTCGTTTAATCCCTCGAATGCTAAATTTTCAATAATATCTCCGTTTGGACATTTGAACCAACCACCACGAGGAATAATTATTGCTTCTTCCGTTATTGTCTCAACTATGGTTGCCAAACGATCTTCCTCTTTTAATTCTTTCGGTATTGGTCCCTGAACAGAAAAATATATTTAATATTAGAACGATGTTTCAGATAAATATGATTTAATGCAATCTAAAATGATGTAATTATTCTACGTTGTAATATTGCTTAGGATCTTCATTTGATGGAAATGGTGGATTAGAATCGTAAACGTTTGTCACTATTGATGGTTCTCCTTCGAATTTGTTAATTGCAAGGGGTGTTAAAAATTTAGCATATTTTTCTGGCTTTGGTAGTAATAACCAATTTAATCCATCCATACTGTTTAAAAAAATCAAACAATTATTCATATTATTTTTATTGTATCGTTTAATGTATTTATTTTTATATATTGACTTTTTGGAGAAAAGATATTTTTATAACCTGTAATAATATATTTTTCCATTCATACAATCTTTTTTGTATCCATAAGCTATGTGATAATCATTTTGTATGGCATTTATTTTACCCCAATAATAACACTTTCGAAATTGATTTTCTTTTTGCAATATCAAGAGGGAATTTTTTAATAGCTGAGAATTTTCCGTGCTCACGCATATTCCCGCGTAACCTAAAGTATCGATAGTATCCAACAATTTTGAATATTCCATTTATTTTTTCTTAATTTTTCTTAACAAATTGTTTTAAATATAAAAACAATATTCCCTCGTTAAAATCTTTTAATCATAAAAAAATTTAATTGGATTTTTATAAGTATTGTACAATAGTATGACTTATGGGACTTGAGAGAAAATATGTTAAGTATATTAAATCTTTCATTTAGGATGAGATTATTTAAACAAATAATTGATAATCGATTCGTGAAACTAGCAACGTTGCATCTTTTATGATTTAATTTTGTGAATTAAGTACAGCGCCATTTTATCTATAAACAAAAATATCCTTTCCTGTGGGAAGAAATAATAGATGTTTTTTCTGTTAATTAATACATCTAATTTGTATTAAATATCATACAAAAAAAATAATAATTTTTTCAACAATCTAATTTTGATGGAATTTTTATACATATACATAATCATTTACGTATTAATTTTCCTAAAAAAAGAAAGGAAATAGGATATCAGTACTATCAGATCATGGAAAAATATATAGGCACATATAGTAATGTTTTATTTTATTAAATTCACAGACAATTCGTTAAATTAATATACATTTTCCTTTAATTATAGGCAGTTGCATATTTAACGATCTAATAGAGAATAATTTTTGTACAAACACTTCCTTTGTGTATTTATCAAAAACATTAATGACTCTTATTAACTAAATTTAATATTATTTTTCGCATATATCGATATCAAAAATGTCTACAATAGTAATAATTTGTACTTACGGTAAACAATAAAATAGAGAGAGTTATATCGCGTTTATTAATATGAGAAATAATTCTTATACGTAATCAGAATTTTGTTAAAGACCAGAGAATCTTGATCTTAATAATATTTAAAAAGAATTGATTTAAAAAACTATACTCTTTGCATTAAGAATATAATTAAAAACTTTCATTAATGTTTAAACTAAAGTATTTAAAAAAGATATATTAAATAGCTGTAACTATAAAATATATAATACAAGTAATATCTGTTTATTCAATTCTATTCTAATGTCATTAAAATGATAAGTAATCAAGCACTATTAATCCGACTTTTTAGTATCTGTCCAATAAGATGAAGCGTTTTGAATGTTTTGTTTGGGTAAAGTCGTTGTCTTATTAAATAAAATGTAATCGCTTTCAAGAAAATAAGAATAATAACGAGGACCAAAAGATCTACCCAATAAATAGTATGTTCCATCTCTAAAATGACAATGAATGTATAAATAAAAGATATTTTAAATATGATTAGAGAAAATATTGAAAATTTGTTAAAAATATAATTCTTACTCATTAGTCGGAGTAATTCTATAGGTGAATGTATGGGACAAAAATCTTCCTCTGGTGGACAATACAGTTTTCCTCTGTTAAATCCATACATTGATATTACCAGACCTTCTAATCCGTATCTTAAATAACTAGAATACATCACTATTATACGATAAATAGACAGTGGCTCAGGATCTCCCATGCCTTGGATAGAAATTAACATTAAAGAAGCTGCTATTGCTGGTCCAATAAACATACCATTCTGAAATATATAACATAGATTATAATTAAATTGTAAATATATATATAAAAGAAATTAATTTGATAACAATACGCAACATACCACCACATTTAACGTGCAGGCAATAGATAGACCTATACTTTCAGCAATAAAAGCACAAACGAGACAAATTAAGAAAAATCTGCTTATCCTACTAAACTCTAGGGGTTGTCCAGTGAAATTATAAACCATCAAGACGTAAATCAATGTATTAAAAAACTGTAAAATTAAATGCTATAAGTATGTATGCTTTTTCTTTTTTTTTTTTTAAATATACAAATTATAATAATATTTATATCAACCTGGGCAGGAATAGAAGATAGAGTGAGAGCAAAATAATAGGAGCTCAGATTGTACCATCTGTTAAAGTGTTCTCTTTTGACCAGATGGATCTCGGAGGGATCTGAAATAGTTGTAATTATAATTTTTCTTCTTTGACTTTATATATGTGTAAGTAGATTCTTACATACAACGTAACAATATCGGAAACATTGGTATATAAAGAAAGATAATCAAACAGATAAAGCAGAAACCAAAGTTAAAGAGAGTTTTTGAGGCATCATTCCCAAAGTTTAGAAAAATAAGACCGTTTATGAAACCTAAAAAAATGTGTAAAGATATCTTGAGGTATTCGTATTTCTGAAAAATAAAAAAGATGACAATATAAGATAGTGATATATGAGAAAAATCTTATATGAAAAGGTCACGAGGTAGACTTTTTCTCTTTATTATTTCTTACTTTGTCTCTATATAATTGTAACATCATCCTCTTAAATAATGTGATGAATTGTATGTACCATGATATTCTAAAATTTTTTCTTTCTAGTTCGAATTTTGTGATAGTTTCTTTTACAGGTAAAATTGGAAAATTTCTTTCAACGTAAGTGATCATTTCATCAACTTTTTCTTGTCCGTATTCTCCTGTAGAAATTTCGATAACTGTAAAGGAAATTACAAAAATAAGATAAAATATGAGAAATGAAATGTAATCATAAATAGAAATTTCTTTTGAAATACTTACTGAAATCAGCCGGATTATAATGAATCGGACATTCAATATTAATTTGTTGAAAAAATGATACTATATTATTAGATGGACCTCTATAAACGCATTGTCCATTTGCCATAACGTATACGTTATCAAACTTAGAAAAAATAGATGCACTTGGCGTGTGAATCGAACAGATTATAGTTCTTGTTAAGTGTTTTGTTAATTTTTGGAGAAGTAAGATGGTTTGTATCGAAGATATTTCGTCTAACCCTCTGTGAAAGAATAAACGTATATTTTTAAATAGTCCTTTTAGAAAGATGAAAAAAGAAATTTTGTGTTAACTTACGTAGTAGGTTCATCAAGAAATAGTATAGATGGATTGTTCACCATTTCTAAAGCAATAGATAGTCTTTTCTTTTCTCCGCCTGAAAGTGTATCTGAAATTGTATCCCTTGCATTGGTCAGCCTTAATATATTTATGATTTCTTTGATCTGAAAAAATTTGTAATAAGTTTTATATGTTTTATGCTCTTTTAATTCGTTAATTAATTGAAATAATAAGAGATTAATTAAAATTAATAAAATATAGAATAGTATAAATGCGTGTACATAATTGTATTGGTTTCAAAAAGGCTAGAAAAAAAAAATAAAAAATAAATCCAAATCTACTTACTATTGCCGATTTCTCTTTTTTCGTCAGTTTAGAACCAATTTTCAAATCGATTGCGAAATGCATAGACTCAGTAACCGTAAGTTTCGGTTGAATTAAATCATTTTGCATTATATAACAAGAACTTTTTTTAAATTCTTTTAAGTCTCTTGGTATTCCATTAATGTTTATTGAACCGGTTGCTTCTTGACATCTGAAACATATTCAGAAAAAGAAATATAACAGAGATAAACAAACATACAAATATTAAAATAATAAATAAAATTAAATAAAAAAAAAATCCAAATTTCTTTCTTGATTATCATTTATATTTCTGTAGATAGTTGTTATTTTATTAATAATTAGCTCGAATTGAATAAATAGATCAAAGTAGTGCAATTATAATCAATGTTTATGTAAAAATGATGTGCATATAATATATCTAATGTTATTAGACTTTGGACTTTACAGTCTCTTCCAAGTTGTAATTTATTTCAAAATTTCATTCCGTCGTAATGTTAAAGGTTTAAAGGTCTCTGACCTTTCATTCTCCCTTTCCTCTTTTCCCATGCCAATCCCATAATTATCTATTTGAAATTTTAATTATCTTCAATATGATAAGTTCAATAACACCTTTTATTCTTCCTTCTTAAACTACTACGCTAGGCAAATTCATTGTATTTTTAGATTTAATATTATTTAATTTTATATTTTAATACTTACTTATATCCAGCAAGAATGTTTAACAAAGTTGATTTTCCTGCTCCGGAGGCACCCAAAATAGCCGTCAATTCACCGGATTTAAATTGACCGCTTATTCCTCGTAAAATTACTTTTGAACCTTGGATAGGAGGAAAAGATAAGAATACTATAAACGGATGAAAAATATCTTTTTCTTCTTCTTTTTTTTTTCTTTTTTTTTTTTTTTTTACTTATGAGTAGAGATAAACACACGTTGAAATATTCAAAATAAACGCGTAACATTTCAATGTGTGCAATTATGCAATGAGAATTGTAAATATTGCCACACATATTCCACAAAGTATTTATTATATAAACGGTATTAAACATTTTAATTTTTTCTTTTTTTTTTTTTTTTGAAATATCATACTACGTTCAATTAAATCGTGAAAATCATAAGCTTTTTCTCGAAATAACTATATGTTTTTGGGAAAGTATATAAAAAGCATTTTATTATGCACTAAAATTATTTATTTTTTATGCGTTCTTAAGAAGCGAGTAGTTAAAATATAAAATTGAAATTTTTGATCCCAAGTATAAGAATAATATTCTTCGATATTTTTTCAAAATACTTGTATACGTTACACGATTCTAAATCCGAAAAAAATAAATATGTGCTTTTATGGCCTTTCAAATGAAGATTATGTGTAGTCTTTAGAAAGAGTTTCTCTATTGATTTAATGATTTCAATAAGGTGTCCTTCGAAAACTATGAAAACAAACATAAAATAAAAGCGTACAGTGAGTGTTTGTACATATTTGTTCGTTTTATTTTTTTCTTTCCTTTGAAAACTGATTTTCTATTAATCGTGCTGCTTTATCGACTTTTAATATACCACGTTGAAAGGTTGAAAGGTCGTAAGAATTGACAAAATTTATTTTGTCTATCACAATTTCCGGTCATCAATAAGCTTTCAATAACATTTTCCAAGTGTCATTGATTTATATCTTCGCATAATTTATAATAAGTTAAATACGAGGAAACATTTGTTAATCATATAGTTATATATAGATAAGTATTTATAAATATATCTAATTATTATATTTATTAATGTTATTATAATTCGAATGAGATAAATTATAAAGCAATAATAATTTTTTATTTGTCGTTATTGCCTCTATCAACAAATTATTGACCTTAACACACATATTCATTTTCCAACTCGCTGACGTTAACTGTAAACGGAAAGCAATTTAAATTTTTTTATTCCGCATTTTTTTTTCATTCATCATTTATGTGTTTCATAAAAGTGCACATTCATTCAAATATTTCGCGTAATGCGCAAAACGTTTGACGTACAATGTAAAAAGATTCTATTTTTCCTTCTTTTTTTTTTTTTAAGCATTTACAAACCTTACACTAGCTACTAGTTATATCAATTTGGTTTTAGAATTGTAATTTTTGTTTGGTAATTAACATTAGAAATTGTAACATTTAAAACGAAAGATTAAACCGATCGAAAGTTTCACACAAACCGATACTTAAGAAATTAATCTTAAATATTGTTAATTATATTTAAAGAAAAATGCACGTTAAATTTAAATTATTAATATAACAATTAATAAGATTTAGATGATTAATTATTAAATCGAAAATAAGAAAACAATCGTTTCTAATGGTTCAATAAATTTTCAAAGAGATGAGATAAATTAATAGAAAATTTTCTAGCGGAAGTATCTCGACTACTTTTATGACGTTTCTTGTGAACCTATTATTAGAATTGTTCGAGATTTAAATGATTCGAACGTATTCACCTTTCAGCAAAGAAGAATTATCGATGAAAGTTTTAACATTCACTGTCATACTTTTTTTGTTCATTACTTTCACGCGATGATAGATAAAAAATATAAAGTTCATATGTCAATTTTATCAAATTAAAGTTATAATACGAAGTCGTTATTATTTAATTAAAATGCTAAAAATGTTTGAAAATTGTCCATTTCAATTTGTATTAATCTTTGAAATAATAATTAAAAAATATGCTTACTATATATACGTTAATGGGATTTTATATTATTCCAAGTAAAAACATCATAAATATTATTTGTATGACTACACACACACACACACACACACATACACATAAATGCCAAACGAAATTAATTTTTATCTATTTATTTTAATTCCAAACGTTTCATGAAAATGAAAATTAAAATTAATTGGCAATGAATGGACGTAAGAGATTATATAATCGATACTAAAGTAGGGAGTAATTAAATATTAAGATTCTGAATAAAAAAAGAGAAAGATATACATGCTGTGGGTGAATAGAAAGTGAACGTCATTGTTCTATTATAATCATATCCGGAATGATAATAATCATAACAGAATGTATCTCCCGGAAATCTACTGTTGCTATGTTTTTACGTCCCTACAAAAATTTAATATGGTATTTTTACGTACAATACTTTTTTCACATTTGAAAAAATCTCTTTTATTTTGTAGAGTTTTCTATTTCCTTAAAACTAACTAATATTAATCATGTAAATGAATAAATTATTCATGTATATGTACATATGCAACTACATAATTTTGATAAATTAAAATGACTGTTAGTGACAAGAGTGATTTCGTTTTTATCATCCGATTATAAAAGATACTGCGTAGTAGCTTATGGTAATTTTCTTGTTTTTATTTCTTAATTATCCTGGTATTTCTATATATATATATACAGTATCTTCATCTATTTGTTAGAGTTGCAATCTTTTTTTTCAATCCATCGCTTCGTTATTTTGTATAAAATAAAAATATTCATGAACTAACATTGAGAAACATCGAAATTTTCATTGCCAAAAATTAAGAAGAAGAAGAAAAGGAAACGGAGAAGAACAAAACGAGATAGACATTAATAACTTTTTTTATTTTAAATATTATACCGTCCGATGACCTAACGTTAATTTCACGCGGAACAGCTATTAAATGAATGTCGCGATATCATGCGTTTAAAGCTGGACAAAAGAAATATGAGTCGAAAGAATCTTAAAAAAAAAATTACAGCCATTAAAGTATTAATTGCCAATTATATGATAAATACATATTGACATTAGCATGTTTATATATATAATTAAAAGAATCATTAAATGACGCATATTTGCAAATTGCAATGATTCAGGTTGCATTATGTTTAGTAACACAAGACCTTTGCTTGTAAAATGATAAGACGAGTTTTTTTTCTTTGTTTTCCTTAGAATTTCTGATTCATAATTAAACTTTTAAATGAGTAAACACATCTATGCAGATAAATAAAAAATTAAAAGGAAAAAAAGGAATAGAGTATATCTATTTAATATCTCTAAAAAAACGCGGGAATACAAGAATTTCATAAATAATGATTGAGAACTAATCTGAAATTAAAAGAAAAACTTTTTTTTTCCCTTATAAAGGAATATATTTATTTATTGTTTGCTTACCTTTTCCTTCAAATGGCACGCTGTACGTTAAATCGTGAAAATCAATGTCCAAAGGTGTTAATTTTGTAAGATGTCCAAAAGTAGTGAAAGTTTCGTCATCAAACGGGTTATTTTTCGTAGGTTCGTTTCTTTCACCAATTTTATCCATTATTTTGATATTTGAATAAATTATAAACTTGTCTCTGATTTATCTTTTGAAAAATTCAAAAACTTCTCGACATTTGATTCATTCTTGATTATTCGAATCGTCTTATGTTAATTTCTAAAAATAAAGAAGTAATCAGGTCAAATATATTACAAAAAATAAAAATTATCAGTTTTTTAATTATAATTGAGATAATAAATAGAAATACGGATCTGAAATATTTCGTTATTTTTATTTATCAATTAATGATCAATTTATAGAGCAAAATTTTATATTATATAATTATTAAAATTATTGTTTCATTTTAAGATTATAACGTAAAGAAGGTGGTATTACTAATTGTTAAATAAACTATTCATTCTTTTTTATAACAACATCTGAGAATGTAGTTTATCGAATTTAATATCATTAAGAGTTGTTAGCTTTTTTCCTAATAATGAACAAAATTATAATCTTGTGAGGATTTATATTTAATGAGAAAAAATTAATTTCTTTATAAGATAATAATGCTATAGACACATACACACAGGAATCATCTTTTGGTTATATTATATATCAAATATTATGAACTTATTAACATAATGATTAATTGGACAAAAAATATAAAGTATTATCTGAGGACATCACATAATCTCATATAATTATTATAAAAAGTTAAGTGAGAATGTTTTGTAGGATTGTTCATATTGTAAAAGACAATTAATAATAATAGGCATATACGTGCAGTAATTAACATATAAGCAATAGAATGTATTTAAACGTCCGATGCAATGTTAGTAATAGATGATAAAAAATTAAGATAAATAGTTTCATTTAAATAAACTATTATGTAAATAAATAGGGAAAAATCATGATATAATATTAAAGAAATCATGAATCGTATGTGACTCTTTAATATGATTGTTATTAAATAATATAATTATATGTAATTTTGTTAGATGCATTCATTAAATTATTTTTTCTCAGTTGCATTCTAACATATTAAATTAACGATTTGAATTAATACTTTATCCTTATATTCGTATATAAACGTGTATCATCGTTGTATCTAAAACCAGACATTTTTATTAGTTATTTTAATGTCAGACATATTATATGATATACATTGTAATTTACATTCGTTACGAGAAAATTCAAAAGAAACTGATTCAAAGAACTTTTTTCAATTTAATGTTATGTAATAATAAACATTGTATAACAAAGTTGCAAAATAAGTTTTTCCTTGGAAATTTGTTATAATTATAGAGGATTTGTTATTTTAAGTTTATTATCTTTTTTTTACCTCGACTGTTATTATTGAAATTGAAAAAAAAAAAGAATAAAAAGATTTATATAAAAAATGTTATATGAAATTTACTCCGAAGGCTAGAAGCATCATTAAGGCATTGAAATGTTTGTAATCATGTCAGACAAAAGATAGATGTTTTTAAACGATGCACTGCTAACGTTTGTGAATCCTTATCACTTATTTTAGCTATATTGTTGCCATCCATTAAACACTATCAAACGAGATAAACGGATTAATCTAGTTAAACAAAAACTTTTGTTATTAATGGATCGAATTATGTATATGTATGTGTATAAAATTAATTAATTTTGCATGTAATTTTTAGAAAATATTATTAATGAATTAAACTATAGATTTCAACAATTCTAGTTCAATTACTTAAAAAATGTTCGTGTATTACGCTCACGTTTTTTATTCTAATTGAATGGTATAACAAAAAAAGAAAAGAAATACTAAATATGTAAATACAAATTTTCGTAATAATGTTTAAGTAGGTCACCGTTTGTATATTTGGTTATGTTCTTTCATACAAAAAAAACCGGTTAGCACTGCTAGATAAGTCTAGTAAACTGAAGTATTTATTGTTTTATATATATATTTTATTGCTTCTGCAATGAATTGAATCGTGCATTAATTATTTTTTTTAGATTTTTTTATTCAGTAAAATGTCAAGGTAAATTCTTGTAATAGATCGCAAGTAAATTTTTTTTATTTCGTTTCTTTTTAATTCCCCCTCCTCCCCCTTCCATTGTAGCAAATTGCAAGTTATTATATTTGTTGATGTTATTAATTGTAAAAATTGTCCATTTTGCTTTTTTTACTTGGAAAATATTACGAAACAGTAGATTAGATTGAAACGACGTGATTATTTATAATTTGTTTTTTTTACACTATCGTAATTTATATCTATGAAGTCTCTCGATATTCAAACAGGAATAATTATTTTAAATTTTTTTGTAACACTTCTATACAGGTTTTTAAACGTCTAAATAAGATAACAAATATAAAAAAATAAATAAAACAAAAAATTGTATGGTTTGGTGTGTCGATAAGATAATCTCCAGTTGCACATGATAAAATAAATATTTAGTATATTTTTAACATGTATTTCTTTTACAAAATAAATATGGTTTTTTTCTTTTTTTTATTATTGCAACCCAATTTGATTAATACGTATAAAATGTCTGTTATGTAATTTCGTCGTATTATTTGATTGATTAAGGTTATCTAGGTTTTTTTGTTTTATTTCCTAAGAAGATTTATTTGCAATATAAAAAAAGAGTGAAAGAGAAATATAGAGAAAGGTACGATCATGTTTCCAATTTCTATTTCATATTCAATGTGCTGAATAAAAAATAAGATATACATGATGTAATTGTTATTAAAAGACAAAATAGAATAATCTCCGCTTGTGTATATGAAATTAATTTATGTTAATAATAAGTGTGAATAATCGTATTATAAATCTTTAAGTTACGTTTAAAATAAGAAAAAAGAAACAAATTTATATAATATATATAAAAAGAATGAAAATGACGCAAATTTGAGATGCAAATAAAAAAAAAAAAAAGTATCGGAAAAATTTCTATTGGAATAATAAAATATTGTTAAAAAATCGAAATAAAGACGAATCATGTTATACGTATAAATCATTGGTAAAATTACTATAAAATAATAATAGAAAAAAAAATATATATATATATATATATATACATTGAAATAAAGTAAAAATAATGAACACCTTCGTAGAAAAAGCAAGTGAACTTACGAATGAACGAACGAACGAACGAACGACCGAACGATCAAGCGAAGATGATCAATAAAAAGTATAAAAGAGTAAAAGTAGTAGTTTAAAAAAGGGAGAAAGAGAAAGATAGATACTAAGAGAGATGCACAAGAGATAAATACTAACAGAGGAATAATCAACCAGTTGAAGAAGTAAGAATAATAAACTAATTGGGTATTAGATTATCACAAATGCACTTTTAAAAGTTGTTCGATTGTAACTATAGTCACTATTTTTATAATTTCATTAAATACGTAAGTCACTGTTACCAACAACTTAAATAATTTGTTAACACTGAAAATGAGAGTGAATGGATAAAGAAGAAAGAGAGAAAGAGAGAGAGAGAGAGAGAGAGAGAGAGAGAGAGAGAGAGAGAGAGAGAGAGAGAGAGGTATACAGACACAGAGAAAGAATGGTTTAGATAAAAGATACATACAGTACGAACAGTGGCGGCAAACTGGTTCTAAAACACGACTAATACCACTTAACTTACTTATGTTATACTCGTATCAGACTTTGAGGGAGTTCCTTTATATTACGTCTAGTAGTGACGACGCGACGCTACTTTGTAGGATGCCAACACGCATGCTCCGTATTTTAAATTAACAAAATTAAATGCACCTACTGTTTACTCTATTTTATATCTTTTCATCTTTTCTTATAAATGCCATTTTGTTTTCTTCCTTATTTTTTTATTTTGTATTTTTATCTTTCTTGTTATATTAAAAATTGTCTTCTTCCTTTATTTCATCCTTGACATTCACAATTGACATCATGATAAATTATCATACATAATTTATAATTTTTTGACTTGATTATTTGTGGCGCAATTTTTAG